CTGTGAAAACAAACACCCACATGGTTTGAGTGTAGATCCATTACTCAGTCACAATCACAGCTGCCCACGTGCCTACGAGCAAACACACTGACTCAACATACTGCGGCGTAGGTACGACTTCACACCACACCTACGTCCCATTGAAAGAGATCTGGTTCAGCTCCACACTCCACCCACTCGATATGAATGATTTTACACTTCCACCGTCAACAACAACAGTCAAGTAAATGTGCTCATTCAAAGAGGCATTCGTACTCTGCAGTGACATCGCGATGGGGGTGTTCTACGTGTATCTCTAGGCGTTTTTCAACAGTTACCATGGTGACAAAATGCTCACATTCGCAAAAACTGACAAAAGTGTTTAAATATGATCTGAAAAGTCAAGAAAAAAACATCTAACAACACATTTACTCTGTTATAGTTACAACCAAATCAGGGCTTTCTGGTCAGATTGTGTTAAAATAAGAATAAGATTAAAGAGAGCTTCAGACAGAGTAGTGCTTTCAATTAGCGTCACACCCCCAGCGAATGTTGACAGCAGCTGCAAAGTGACAATAAAATGGTAAAAGAGGTACACAGGGTTGTAGACCTTTAGTCGTTTAGTCGTAGTATTCGTAGACTAATCATTTTGTTGAGATTATAGGATTCATAATGGACAATAGCAGTACGGTAGACCTTTTTTCACAACGTCACTTATGTTAATACTTTTCTATGTCAAAATATCTGTGGAAATGTCTTGCATATTTTTCGCCAGCTTCATAAATCTGCCCCATCACCAAATCTTCAACCAACAATATTCTGTCCATGAAGAATTTATCCACAACTATCAAGGTAAGAAAGACGAAAACTTAAAGGTGAACAATGAATAGCATTAGTGAACTACCCCTGAGCAAAACTAACATTGCGGTCATGAATAAAACATAAGTAACTTGTTAACTCAGACTGATTCTAGAATTAAAATTAAAAATCGATTTCATGATGTAGATATTAGCACAGACAGAGATTTGTGCATCTTAAATGCGAGACATGTAATCTGTGAACATCTGTAGCATTTAAACTGCACTAATCTCTCTGTCTATGCCAATATCTGCATCATGAAATCGATTTTTAATCTTAATTCCAGAATCTGTTTTAGTTCACAAGTTACTTATTAACAAATTACTTATTACTTATGTTTTATTCATGACCATAATGTTAGTTTTGCTCAGGAGTAGTTCACTAATGCTAAGTTTTCGTCTTTCTTACCTTGATAGTTGTGGATAAATTCTTCATGGACAGAATATTTCCTTTGTCGACCTTGTTGGATGAAGATTTGGTGATGAGGCAGATTTATAAAGCTGGTGGAAAATACACGAGACATTTCCACAGATATTTTGCCTTAGAAAAGCATTAATGTAAGTGACGTTTACCTACATCACAGCACTTACAGCTTATGTGAAAAATGTCTGCTACACGTAAAAAGGCACGTAAAAGACAGTACTCCATCAGTCTGCTCAGTGACAAAATACTACTAATAATAATTGCTTTTAGAAAATGCATTGTTATTCAACCACAGCTGATAAAACTTTGGCTTTGGACAACAATGTACAAATCTATATTCACTCAGTTACTATCTAGTATCTAGTCTCCACCCTCACTTTTAACCAGGTTTAGTTAAGCTTCAGCTGCAGTATCACTAGGCAACAGTGGTTAACCTTTGACCCCTGTCCCCCTTGTGCTCCGCCGCTCACACTGAAGTCCCTTTGGTGCACACAGACTCTGTTTAATGAGTGAAAAAGAGAAGAGCAATGAGGAGGTGAGAGAGGAGAGCAGCTACACCTACAGCACACCATCATACACACCCAATACAACAACACAACCAGGACTACTTGTAATGATTTCAGAATTACATTACAAGAACATGAAATTTGATTTGATAATAAATAATGATGTTTGTAGTACATTTCCTGTCTTTAAGAATGCTATGTAGGATTGTAGACATCAATATCATGAAAAATATAATCAATAATATAAGTAATATTCACTCAAAACCAACTATACATGCAGAAAAATGTACTATACGAATCAATTATTTCATATAAAAACAGATTCAACTTGTGAATCATGACTTTAAACTGCCCTTTACAAAAAAATACTAAAAACGCCCACTTGTTAACTTCTTCTTCTTTCTGCTCTTCTCCCACATAAATCTTGATAATCTAAATCTACAAATATTAGTCAGCTAATACACATCGACTAAACAAATAAAGGACTACAGCAATCATAACAGTTGACAATATACTAGGGGTGTAAGAAAAAAACGATTCAATGATATATCGTGATACTTCATTGCACTATTCTCAAATCGATTCAAAATGGATCTGAATCGATTTTTTAAAATAATATTTTTCACAATAATTCATTAGTTACATTCACAGTTCTCATGATTTAAAAAAATTATGAATTATATTTCATACAATTGTGTTCTCTTGAAGGTGTAGTTGACTGTATTATTATAAGTAATTTTTGATAAATCGCAATATATCATCCATTGTTTTATTATCAGGATATATGATGATATATAGAATCGTGACATGCATGATATGTATCGTATCGTCAGACTCAAGGCAATGCGCATCCCTACAATGTATTACTAGTAAACAAAACAAAAAAGCAAGAGACAAAATTAAGAACCTACTCAAGACAAAAAAAGATACCATATCACTGATACCACACCATTAATCGAGAGCTATACTACACTATATGTAACAATAACCCAAATATATGATTTCGTATTGTCAAAAATCTCACAATAATATCGTGGACCATCACAATGTATCGAAATTACAAGTTTCTTTGCTTAAATTCATCGTTATGGTGCAGCATGAGCTAAAAAAAAAAAAAAACAGAGGGAACTACATAGACCATGATTCTTTGTGTCATTTCAATGCAGACTACAAGAAAAATAACAGTTGAAATCTTAATTGTCTGGATTATGACAGAATCAAAGTCTTGTCAAGGCATTTAAAAGGGAAAAATAAAAAATAACATAGCCTATTTGTATCGAGAAATGTGGATATTGTTACATCCCTATTATTCTGTACTAGAGCAGGACTACATCTGCAGAATACCAGAGTCGAGTGAGAGGAAGGGAGCCTGTTGAAAAGTGGATTACGCTGCATTGAGGGTCGCACAGAGTTGACTTCTGGCCTGACCTCAGATCAGATCAGCTCACGCAGTAACTCCAGGCTAACAGGGCATCAGGCAGAACCACATTTGCAAATATAAATAGCTGCCCTGTGCTCGCTGTGTGGACTATTGACAAAGAAGCTAAGAATAAAACGCTACAAGGGGTGAAATTTGGTCCCATTGTTAGAACAGAAATGGGGTATAGTTACATTAGGATCAGCAAAATGAAGAAGCATCAGAATAATCTGAGAATGGCACAAAATTAAAATGAAAAACACTCTTTAAAGGTCCTAGATTACGCAAAATTGACTTTTGTGAACTTCAAGCCATGTTTTAAAGAAATATCCTCATCACAAACACACCTAGAGTTGAGTTTTTTGTTTTTTTTTATGATGTTCTTTGGCAATACAGAAACCGCTCCACTGTGTTTTTAAAGTCCATACACCTTCACTAGAATTGTTTGGATAGATGTAGACTAATAATAAAGCATTACGCAAACATGTGTGAAAGAAACAGCTTTTTTCCCTACTTTTTTTTCACAAACGATGTAAAATAATGACAAATATTTACAGTACTATCCCACCAAACCAAGCAATAATTTGAAAAAAATATATGAATCTGTCAAATTCAGAGTAAATAATAACGTAATCCAACATAACAGTGCAGTGGTGGAGTCTGGTGCAGGTGTATTTATAGCAGGATGAGTGAGAGCAGGCTGAGTCAGACACATCCGTATTTACAGTGCTGCTCCCTGAGGCTCTTCACACTGTTAAACAAACCATTAGGTCTGAGTTACATGAGCGACCAGAGAACTGTCACTCCACTGTCATAATCTGTTTAACCCCTTCACCTCTGCACACAACGTTAAAAGTGCTACATTACACTAAACTGACTCTCGAGAGCTTTACGTTGTGTCATAATGTTGTTTTCTCATCATAAACAGATCTGGAGTTGAGTTTTGTTTCATCCACACATGTCTGACACGCAAATCCTGCATATTTAGACTGAGTTATTCTCACAAACTTTTTTTAAATTATATTATTACTACAGAAACACAACATGACAAAATAGCAAAAGTAGATACAGGATAAAGTGCAGATGGGTTGTTGTGCGTCAATGCAAAGTCCAGTTCACAATTATAGGCAGGTGATGGAAAGTGGATATATATATATACATACACATACATATATGCACATACACACATACATACATACATAATTTAAAGCCAAAATGAAACAAAAACAAAATTGACATACATACAACTTAAATTGAAGCAGATAATGCGTACAAAGAAGTCAATACAAGAAACTGAGGAAGTGGTTAAAAATAAAATCCTAATACTTCTGTAATTTTGAGTGTTTTGATAGACTTAATGTTAGAAATATTGTTTGATATTGTTTGTTATTGTAAGATAATTCTTGATGTCTATGATGTTCTTCTCTCAAACAGAAAACTCTGTTCCACGTTGTGATGTCATGTGGTAATACAGGAAGTTTTTTGATCGAAACCATGAACTTTTTATTCATTTTGACCTTTCATCCACACAGAGCTGGTGTTTCGGGTGGGTGAAAACAGTGTTTTTTGAAAACAATGCCAGCTTCGCGTTGTCCTGTCGACAGTAGGGCTGGGTATCATTAACAAGTTGCCGATACGATACATACCTCGATACAGTGAGCTTTCGATTCGATACAATATATTTCAAATCAATTCGACACAATTCAATAAAAAATAATATCTAAATCATGGCTGTGATACTAAAAGTCTTTGTTAAACCACGTCTTATGCAAAGTGAATATGAAACACAAACATTTTAGTCATCAAAACAGTGAAAA